GGTTATATAATTATTTTTCAAAATCTAAAAAGGAGTTCAAGTGAGGTCATATTACTTTGTTCTTATTTTGATCAAATCAATCTCAAAATCATATCTATTTCAAATTATTACGATTATCTTATTTATACTGGTGTCAATTTAATCTTCTAAAGCTAAAGGTACTTAAAAAAACATAGTATGAAGCTAAAATAAAGAAATTGCAACTTAAACTGATGACATTTTTTAAGCAAGTGCATTTTATAACAATCTTAATTGAAGTTGTATAATTTATAAAAATGAATTTATATAATAATTATTATTAATTTTATAATTAAATAATTTATTTTAAATTTACAAATGTATTTAAATATAATTTATATTGTATGAAATGAATGTATCTTACTAGTTTTGTCTTAAAAGAAAAATTGAAGTTACTAAGAGGCGATTTAAAATCTTGGAGCAAGGATGTTTTTGGTTGGTATGACCTCAAAGTGGAAGAGGAAGTGGAAGTCATAAATGAAGTAGATTAAGCTTTATTTTTAGAAGTTAATGGAGAGGTGGAAAACTTGGTTTTGAAGAGATTAGAGGCATGGCATAATCTTCACATCAAAGAAAATATGGTTCTTCAAAAATCTCGTGTTAAGTGGAATAGGGAGGGAAATATAAATTCTAAGTTTTTCCATAATTTGGTTAAAGGGAGAGCCATAAACGAATTTATTGGGTCTGTTAATACATTAGTAGGCACTGTTGAGTCGGTGATAGAAGTGAAACAATCTGTGAGAGAGTTCTTCTTCAAGAAATTCTCTGAAACTTCTTTTGACAGACCGGTATTCGATGGTATATCTATTAACAAATTGCCAGTTGTTGAAGTTATCTCTTTAGAAGCTCCTTTCTTACATGAAGAAATGAAAGTTGGTTTGGAGTTGCAACGGTTCCAAAAGTCCTGGACTGAACATTTTTAATTTTGTTTTTATTAAGAAGTGTTGGCATTTGATGAAGAGCGATATTGTAGCTTTCACGAAGGATTTTCTTCACCATTCGTTTCTTTCGAAGGTGGTTAGTTCCTCTTTTCTGGCTTTAATTCCTAAACTAGCTAATCCTATAGAGCTGATTTCAGACCTATTTGTCTTGTGGGAAGTTTGTACAAGATTCTAGCAAAGCTTCTTGAGACTAGGCTCAAAAAGGTGATTAGAGGTTTAGTTTCGCATAACCAATCCGCATTTATTCCGGGGAGAAATCTTATGGATGGTGTTGTGGTAGCAAACGAGGTAATTGATCAAGCAACTAGAGAGAATAAGGAGTGTGTTTATTTAAGGTAGACTTCGAAAAAGCCTACGATTGTGTGAATTGGGAGATTCTTAGGGTCTTGTTGAGAAAGATGGGGTTTGGCAAATTTTGGATGAAATGGATAAATACGTCATTTATCAATTCTAGTTAATGGAAGTCCTACAAAGGATTTTGCGATTAAGAGGGGTTTGATGTAGGGGGATCCATTATCATCGTTCCTTTTTGTGATAATAGCGGAGAGTTTAACTAGATTGGTTAAAAGAGCTTCCGTCATTGGAGATTATAGAGGGTTTAAAGTGGACGATGATATTACGGTGGATGTTATTCAGTTTGTGGGCGATAATTTAATGGTGGGAGAAGGAGGTTGGAAGAATATTTGGAGTTTAGAGGCAATATTGAGGGGTTTCGAACTAGTTTCGGGACTTGGAGTGAATGATCATAAAAGTAGGTTTATAGGAGTTAATGTGAGCTCTATTTTTTGTTGGCAGCAACAAACTTTATCTCATGTAAAATTGAATCCTTAGCCTTCAACTTCTTGGTCATACCAATTGGTTGTAATCCAAGGAGAATTAGCACTTGGTAACCAATCATCACGAAATTTAAAAACAAGTTGGCAAGTTGGAAAGGTCGAATGCTGAGTATGGAAGGTAGAATTACCTTGATTAATTCAATCCTTTCATCTTTACCTATTTTCTTGTTCTATTTTTACAAAGCACTGATGATTATTTGGAATGAGATTGACAAGATTAGGAGGAGTTTCTTTTGGGGTTGTAAAGACGACAAGTCTAAAAAAATTTGGGTGAAGTGTGAGATGGTTTGTAGGGATAAAGCTTTTGGAGGCCTGGGTATTAAAAGCATCAAAGAACTCAATTTGGCATTGTTAACGAATTGGAAATGGAGATTATTGAGTGAATCTTTGCCTCTTTGGGAGAAGGTTGTTAAGGCCCATTACGGAAATGTGGAACACTTGGTGTTGGTGGATAATCATAGCTCGCGGAAATCTTCGTCAACATGGTGGAAAGAGGTATTGAACTGTGGTGTTCTTTCAAATTTAGGTGAATTTAATTTTTCAAATTCTATGAATTTTGGGCTTGGTAAAGGAGTGAATGTCCCCTTTTGGTCAGCAAAATGAGCAGGTCAGACGCCTCTTGTTGTGTTGTTTCATGATTTGTATCAACTTAGTCTCAACAAGAACTTCATGGTCGATGTAATGGGTCCGTGGATTGATGAAACGTGGATTTAGGGCGACTTCGAAATCCCGTTACAGGGGCAGGATGAATTTTGCAGCAAAGTTGCGTTGTTGCATCAGTATTTGGACGAGTTCAGTCTGTCTCCTAGAGTGGAAGACAAGATCAATTGGGTTGTAGTTTAGCAAAAGGGATTTTCGGTTAGTGAGGCGTATCGTCTAATGATGCTGGATTCTAACAGAAACTTTATGCAGCTGAATAAATTATTGGCCTTCAAATGGTTATGGAACATTAAGGTTCTTATTAGACTTAAAACTTTTGGTTTGAAATTATTGTGGAACCGATTGCCAACTATTGATGCTTTAAGAAGAAGAGGAGTTGAGGTAAATGCTTTAAGGTTTAAAACACTTTCTTTTCACTTGCAATTTCTCTGTTATGGTATGGAAGAAAATTGGTGACTGGTGTGGTGTTGGAGTGAATTATGAGGGGAATGTGGCAAAGCATTGGTTGAATTGGAGTGGAGGAGGATCAAGTAAAATTATCAAAGGAGCATTATGGTCGGTGATTGTTTGGTCTTTGTGGCAGGAAAGAAACAATTTTATCTTTAACTCTGTGTCTTGTAACGTAGACAATGTTTGTTGAAACATCAAAATTATTGTTTAAAAATAAAGTTGTATTGGAGAGATTCCTTACTCCAACTCTATTTTTCATTATGAAATCTTTTTAAGTTCTTTAAAATAGTGTTGGTCGAGAATTTCTTTTCCTTATTTATAAGAGTTAGAATACCCCTTATATTCTATTAATATCATTTGCCTTTTACGAAGAAAAAAATTAAAAATGAAAGAACTTATATGTTTATCGCATATTTCACCTAATTTTCTATACTTTAATATATCCTCTTCACCTGGAACCTTATTGTACTCGATTTGCATATAATATTGGAAATTATCAAGCTATTTATGAACCACATTAATTCTAGCCTCTCATTATCTTTAATTTTTAAAATTTCAAAAATATATTTGAGTTAAATATAGTTGAAATTTTTTGGACCGCTTGAAGGTCAGAGATTGCACTCAATATAGTACCATTCCAAGTAGAATGAACTAAAGGTTCATAGTTTGAATGTTGAAAACAAGCTACTCATGCTGAAAAATCTTAGACCTATTACTTGTTGCTAGGGCTGGAAATGAGTCGAGTCGAGTCGAACTCACCTCAGCTCGGCTCGACTCGTTAAGAATTGTTCGAATTCGAGTTCGAGTTCGAGTTCGACACGAACTTTTTTTTAAGTTCAAACTCGACTCGTTATAAGTTCACGAACAGTTCGGTTCGACTCGTTAGGTTCATCTCATTAGGTTCATCTCACGTGGTTCACGAACTTAAAAACTATTTTTTTAAACATATATATTTTTTAGTATATTTGACATTTTAAATAAATATATATTTTTTAAATAAAATATTAAAATAAAATAAAAGTTATCATATTGAAATTTAACTTTATCTTCGAAATCTACTAATTCAAAACCTACACAACTTTAAAGAGATACATTTGAGAGTCTAATTCAAAAACTACTAAATTTAAAATTAAATTTGTCTAAGATTTAAAGTAAATATTTAAACCTAATCTTAAAGACAGTATAATTCTTTTCATATGTAATCGAGTTGACTCATGAACCTAACGAGTCGAACTATGTATAGTTCAAGTTCAGCTCATTTAGTTAACGAACTTAATTTTTCGCTCATACTCAACTCATTTGATTCATGAACCTAGTTCAACGATTTAATTGTCGAGCCAGCCCTACTTGTTGCTTTTCTATTATTAACTAATATGGGTTTGTGATGTGAGTCACACATAGGTTACTATGAATAAAAGTGACGATGAAATCTTTATTACAAGACAAAATCCAAATACCCCAACATGGTCTTTCACTTCTTGAAAAAACAAAGGATGGAAACCTAATAATGAAACAAATAGTGAGATGATATCCTCATGTACATAGTATCTATAGTTTTTACCCAAGACAACATGGGTATTCCAAAGAAAGAAAGAAGTCGCTGTATCAATATTGAAAATTTTATTTTAAAAATTATAAAATAATTTTGCACGATTCATTTTAATAATATGAGTGCTAATATATTTTTATAATCGACTCTTAACTTTTTATTTTAATAATATCGTAAAGTGCTAATGTATTTTTTATGCATAATTGACTCTTAAACTTAAAATTTAATATCAAAAATCAATTTTTATATTTATAAATTTTTGTGGTATTTTAAGAACTAAAGAAAAACTTAAGAAAAAGAATATTGAAGGTCCCACCGAGAATTGAACTCGGGTTACCAGATTCAGAGTCTGATGTCCTAACCGCTAGACCATGGGACCTTAGCGTTGCTAGTACATCAACAGTAATTTATTTAAACTATTAATTATCTTTGATAATATGTTTCTCCTTGAAGATATTCGAGTTCCTCATCTTCGTAACCAAAACTGTGGCAACTGTTAACTCTTATCCATTGTTAATCCCTATCACCATTTTCACTTTACAAAAAATGCTTCTTTCATGTCAAAATCACACTCTTTACCTTCCTTATTCTTCCACCCATTCCTCAAAGAACTCAAAACCCAACATTATCTTCAATTGCCAAACCCCAAACGACCAAAACCAACCCATTCCCAGAAGACACAATGCAAAATCCACTTCATTTCTCATCCACCACCTTTCACGCAAAAACAGCGACAATCATCAACCTTCACCCACCGAGCTACAAGACCCAACACCGCACGAAGAAAAAGTGAAGCTTTTAGAACTTTCCTTAGTAAGGAAAAGAACCCCACAATTTCCTGGTTCAATTTATGCTCAATCCCCTAGTGACCCTGATGTGAGTTCTTCTCTTCCTCCTCTTCGTACCCTTTTTAGATCGCGTGATGACGAAGAAGAGGTCTTGATCATGAAAGCTCTTGAAATTCGTAGGAAGGTTACTCAAGAGGTTTTCAAAGAACAAATGAAAAAGGGTAAATTTGGAATTACTTATACAGACAATTTGGTTTCTAGGTTGGGTGGTTTTCTTGATTATGTTATGATTGAAGCTGCTAATTTGAAAAGATTGCCTCAATATTCTCACTCCACTTTCAATTTACGCGCCAAAACTGTTATTGAAGATTCCCAAGTTGTGCCACTTATTAGGTAATTTGTTAGTTTTTACTGTTTTCAAGTTGCTGATAAGCTGTTTGATTTATTGCTCCTGTGAAACCAAACCATAAGTGTTTGTATTTTGATTGTGTATTTCTTCATTTCTATAGATGGTTGAAGCATAATTCTCTATCGTATCCTCAAATAGCTAAGCTCATTTTGATGTCAAGGGGTAAACTTGAGTCCATAAGAAACCGTATTGAGTGGTTGAAGTCAGTGCATGTTAAGGGAGACTTTATTGGGGATGCAATGTTGAAGAGTGGAGATAATGTTTTGCTGCGGAGTGATCAGGAGCTTGATGAGATTGTTGACTGTTTAGAGTCCAATGGTGTAAGGATGGAATGGATGGGTTATGTTGTGAGTCGGTGTCCGAAGTTGTTATCGTACAGCTTGGAAGAAGTGAAGATCCGTGTGCAGTTTTATCTGGATATGGGTTTAGATGACAAGGATTTTGGCACCATGGTTTTCGATTTTCCTAAAGCACTCGGTAACTATACTCTGGAAGAAATGAAGCGAAAGGTAGATTAATTTTTAACAAACTTTATAGGGTCAAAGTCATGTTGTAATATATCCTTGTTGTCTTCTCTAATGTTTTGATAGTTTGTTCAGCTTTAATACCATGTGTGTTGGTAATTGTTTCTGATATACAGATACAGATAAAGCATGATTCCACAATTTTAATTTTCAGGTTGATTACTTGAAAGAATTCGGGCTTGATAATAAGGATGTCGGTAAGTTGCTTGCATTTAGGCCACAATTAATGGCGTGCAGCATTGAAGAACAATGGAAACCTCTTGTTAAGTATCTGTACTATTATGGGATTACTCGAGATGGGATGAAGAGAATGCTTACCATTAAACCAATGGTCTTTTGTGTTGACTTGGAGATGACTATTGTGCCAAAGGTGTGCAAAAACTATTTTTATTAGTTACTCTTCTAAGTTGAGACTTGTATTGTTAATATTGATGTCTTTCAGAAATAAAATTTGCAATGGTTTTTGTCTTGTTTCGTGATGATATTACTGACAATTTTGTTGCATATTTTGTCATGAAGGTAAAGTTTTTTCAGGACCTAGGGGTTCGAAATGACGGGATTGCTAACATGCTTGTAAAATTTCCTACTCTACTCACTTACAGCCTTTACAAGAAGATTAGACCTGTGGTATATCCCTTTCCTTTGCCGCAACAATTTTTGTTACCATGAAGTTATTTTTCCGAAGCCTCGCCACTACAATAGTTTATCACTAAAATTATATTTTAATTTACTGGCTGGTCCAGATGCCTCAATTGACTCATGGGCTGAATTTGCATGTTGTACAGGTCATATTCTTGATGACCAAGGCTGGAGTCACTGAAGAATCTATTGGAAAGGTCGTAGCTCTTGGACCTCAGCTCTTAGGGTGCAGCATAGTACATAAGCTCGAAGTAAATGTAAAATATCATTTGTCTCTTGGCATTCGTCTTCGGCAACTGGGTGAAATGGTTGCTGATTTCCCAATGCTGCTGAGATACAATATAGATGTTCTTCGTCCTAAGTATATATATTTGCGGAGAACCATGGTCCGAACTTTGCAAGACCTTATTGAGTTTCCAAGGTATCACAGTGATATTTTGATCATATATACACCGTTTGTACAAATCTTGTTTAATTTTTAATGTTTTTCAATCCATTGTGTTACTGACTTCAATTGTCCACTTCCCTTGTTATCAGGTTTTTCAGCTATTCTCTCGAGGGTCGAATAATTCCAAGACACAAGGTTCTGGTGGAGAATCAGATTAATGTCAAGCTAAAAAGCATGTTAGCTTGTACAGATGAAGAGTTTAACAAAATGGTCAACAATATGATTCGAAAACGTCAAAATTTTGAATCTACTGTCACAAAGGGGAATACTCCGCATCCCCAGTATCTCGTTACTGGGGATATTACAAACACCCCTGATGTAAAAAGCAAAACAGATAGCTCTGTGGGAAACAGAACGTGATTGAGTTTCGAGAAGTAAAGCAATGTAGTAACTTTGTCTTATTAACTTCATAGGTCAGACTAGTAATTGTCATAAAATCGTGATTATTTTGCTCAAAACGGGGTGCTAAATGACTAAATAACAGCTGGTATAGCGCTGGAGAAACATCTGAGTAAAGGAGCGCTCTGTCATGGAAAAAAAAAAAAAAAGCTTGCAATTTGTCATCCACTACAACACTTGTGAATTGCTGCAGTGTGCGCCAATGAATAGAATTGTGGAGAACGACCTGTGTGCTTCTTGCAATGTCAAAGATGTTTAAGGTATATATGCTCTTAACACACTTAAATGTACATGTTGTACTTGTTATCATGTTTATTTTTGTCAAAGGACTTTGCTTTCACTGATAGCCAGGTTGGATTGACTTATTTTAATTTATCATACCTACTCGTGAGATTGTATAGGAGACCTTATGGAAAAAGTTTATGACACGTCCATAAGCTATCTAAGATAGTATGAAAACAATATATAGTTTATATGAAAATAGTTTGTCGTTTGTTATAGAAACCGTTTATACATAAACACTTGTATAATAAATGTTTATGTTGTAACTTGTAAGCGCTTAAATAAGCGGTTTATCCTTTCCAAACAAATTCTAATTCAATTCATGCTCATCTTTTTTCATGATATTTCAAGACTTGTTTTTTTTTTCTGATAGGAACATAGGAACTTTGACTGACAAATAATTGCGATTAACATTCTTGGCTCGAGTCATATATATACTGGTTGAACATCAAACTCAACCTATCTCCTGAAAGATCAACACTCAAATTTATATATGAAACTCTTTGAAATCTAACTTGCTCAGGATATCTGTGAACAGCCACTGAGTACACAAAGTTCATCAATTCGCCTGCTTTTTATAAGGTGAACAATGTTCTATGGTAGTGAAATTATTTGCTGAAGTCTATGGTCGCGCTATTCCAAGAAACCTTCATTCTCAAAGCATCATAAACCTTTGTTGACTTAAGATAGTTTGTTAAGATATATTACAGATTAAGTATTTGATCATTATAATCTATAAATAACATGGCTATCTAGGATTATGTTTTTTCAATCAGTTATGGATTATTCCAATATTTTTTCTTCCATGAAGGATTAATCCATTGTGTAATATTTTTATGAGGCAAGTCGCATTAGTAAAAGGATTATTCTTCCGTGACATTTTGTATTCATCCTCAGTTCAATGGCTCGCATTACTTTTAGCATTTAAAAGTCTACACAATATTTAAACCCGTTATGTCAGAGTTTGTTGGATAATTGAGAAAAAATAGTGTGATTTGGTTTTTGAGTGTGCTATAGCTTGTGAACGTTTTTCTCATCCAGTTAGATTAAATTATTAATATAAAAATTTCAAACCAAATTATTTCAATAGCAATTTTCCTATTTCAACGTTACAATTATTTATATATGTTTTTATATAATATAAATATGAGATATACTGTGGAATCTATTTTAAAATTTTGATGAATTATATGGATATTTGAAAAAGTGAACTATTCTTTTGAATATTGTGAGATATAAAGTTTTCAAGTTGAACATGTCATAAAAATTTGATGTAAAAGGTTGCAAATTTAATCCATGATAAAAAAGATTGATGTAAAGTTTGTGAGTTGAATCTAGTCAAAATGTTGGTTGATAGTAAAAAATTTCAAGGTCGTACCTTTGGGAGCTGGATGTAAGTCTCCTAATTTTTATCCAAACAAAGATAAATTTGGTGTGCTTTTCTTATTCACTAAAATATTTTATTTATTTTATTTCTCTTTATCTTTTATCTTCTTTTTCTACCATCTTCTTAAAAATTAACTTAAAATTTTATTTTTATCTTTACACTTTTGATTCTAATTCTTCTTAATATCACAATCCACTCTTCTCTTATATTTGAAACCAATTAATCAAGAAAAAAAAAAATATATATTGACAGTGTAAATTTTGTTTACACTATAAATTAATTAATGATAATCATGCATACCGTCAAGCTATACTGAAAATTATAAATTGATTATATGACATGACAGAATCATACAATGTTATTAAATATTTATACCGTCAATACATAATAATTAAACTTATTAATCAATATATTTTTTTCAAAATCAATTCAAGATACACAAGCTTCAACATTAGCACCGGCGGAGACACGTTATGACCGGGAAGACTATGGCCACCCCATCATATTTTTTAAAATCTATATACTTCCCGACTCATTGTTGGATATTGTTTAGTTCAATATAATAATAGAAACAGTTAATAATAACAGGGCATGTGTGGTTTACCGTTTAGTTTGTCAATGAAATGCAGTGCATAGGACAAGCAAAGTAAGTATATTGTAGCATATTGGGTTAATCATTTTGTTAATTAATAAATATACAACTAAACAATATTTTCTCTAACAAACTTTACTACAAAAATAAGGAGGCGTAGTTAAAATATATTTAACCTCAAAGTAAAATACAACTTTTTAAAATTTCAATTCAATGATTAGAATACACAAAACTCAAATTATAATGCTATTTTTTAAAATTTAATTCAATAATTAAAATATACAAAAATATAATTGTAAAATAATATTATTTGCTATAACACATTTATCTTAGAGCATTTTTAATGGGTGAATTATAAGAAATTAAATTAGGTCAACTAAGAGCATCTTTAGTGAGAGTATCTTAAGTGGATAAATCAAGATATTTTTTGTAGGTCTAAAGTGATTTGTAGAATTAAAAAAATTTATAGTTGATTTAAGTTGTTTTTACTTTATAGTTTCTTATAAAAAAAAACTAAAACTTAATTCTATATTTTATATTTTTTAATTGTAATTATTTTTTTATTGAAGTTACTATTAATTTAATTATTTTAAATAAAATACATAAAATATTCATTGCAAATTTTTTGTGGGCCTAAATTATATAACATACATTAACTATATAATTGCCGAAAATTAAAAGTTAATGAATTAAATGTCATGTTATAGTGATTCCAATACAAATTCTTTATAATCATCGTTAACTATAAAAAATTTAACAATTAAAAACTTGTATTAAAGATGTTAACTATTTTTTGTGGGATCAAATCTCCATGTAAGATTTAAGAAATATTTAGTTGATCTAATTTACTTTTACTCCAATAATAGTTATTTATAAACAATTTAAACTTGACCCTGCATATTTATGTATATTTATTTATGATTAATTTTAATTAAAATTTAATATTAATTATTAAATTTGCACAAGAATTATTTTAGTAAATTTTTTAATATTATAAAATTAAAGTGATATATAAGTACATAATAAAATGTTGAAGATTTTTAGAACTGTGGTCGAGAGAAATTGATACTCGTAGTTGTGGATATAGAATGTTAAAGATTTTGAAAACAGCCGATATAAAAAATTATAATAATTTTGATATGAATTCCACTGCTTGAAATCCAAAAAAAAAAAAATATAACTGAAAGAAAAAATTGTGTACAAAAATTTAGTAATAACTTGATTATATTTATAACAAAATATATAAATTACCCTTAACATAAAAATTTCACTCTTAAGCTTCACTATACTATACTATATATTTAATGTATCAATTAAATTAGTTCACTGCAAATTGTAACCACTGTCATCTAGATGAATTTCAATGCAAGTGAATTATATATACTGAACTATACATATCGTCAACTCTAACAAATCATCTTTTTAAAAATAAGCGTTAGAATTGTCCTTAGCGATTATAGATTATAAATCAAATATCTAAAAAGTTAAATTCATGCTTTTATAAGATGTCATAATTAAGTCAAATTTATTATAAGAATTGTCATAGAAGTTTTCACATCTTTAAATAGATGATTCGAAGGAAGACTTCATCGTTTGTATAATATTTGTCGCCCTTAGTTAACAATTCTCTAGTTTATAATTACACAAACAACCAATTAATCTCGATTTACTCACCCCAGTTCTTTTACTAACTAACTGCAGAATATTCATAATTGTCTCAATTCTTTTACTAACTCATTGCGCTATATTCACAAGTTCACCTTGTCCTTGTACAAAAATTAGTCCAATTTTTATTAATACGATAATTAGACTTACTACATTGTAGTTTTTATTGACAGAGTTACTAGGATAACAAAATGGCGTGAATGACAAAGATGGGTTGATCACTTAGCAAAAGACAACAATAGGCAATTGTTGAAGTTTGAGTGCAATTTAATTTATGTTTTAATTTTCATTCTTGTAACAAACAAGTTCTATATCTTTTCCCAATGAATTTTTTAGGTAAAAATTTTGCATATTTATTGTAGTTAAATATATTTCTACTTAATCAAAATTGAACCTCAAGATTGCTTATGGTCGTGAGAGGCTCTTAAGTTCATGGTTGAAATTGAGAATTCAATTTCAAAATAATGAAAATTAATATTATATAGAAAAATTACCAATTTTTCATCGTCATTTTTTTACAAAAAGATCAGTAATTATCAAATTGTAGGGGTACCAGTTAAATTTTCCTCTCTTGTTGCACATGGAACATATGAATAGCAACGCAATCAGACACCGGATGCATGGAGGGAATAACAATCTATCACCACAGCTGAGAATCTTTTCTATTCGCTATCATAATTTTTTCCACACCAAATAAAATACAAAGGAGTAACTTTCCCGTGTCATAAATACTTCCAAACCAAAAGGAAAATGCCATTACAACAATCAAAATTCTTCGTACAGAAATCGAACTAATCCACATGTAACAAATATTTATGGACAAGAAATCTATCAAAAGTGACTAGCTCACTTCATTCAATTCCAAGTCGACATATTGAATTTTTCTTAATGAGGCTAAGATCCACCTGCAAAGATACATGATTTATGATAATATATTAATATCACTTAGGCATTTTCAAAAACAGCATTTAGAAATTGAAAATATGAACCCATCAATCAAAATAAAACAGTGTGGTTTATTCAGCTCAAAATGGCATGGCATAACAATACCTTGTGTCCAAAGAGATCCCTGATGTTATCTATTCCATACATAATCATTGTTGGCCTGTTTATATTAATAACAAGTTAACATTAGTTCGGTGACCTCCATAAATATGTACCATTGTATTTCCTCTATAATTTCATTAGATTTGGTTAGAAAATTGTTAGAATTTCAATTTTATAAATCAAATCATTTTACTGTTGGCAATTAATATGGCTTTCTCAGTGTTTGTTCCCACCTTTCAAGAGAAAGACCCCATGCAATAACTTGGACATCTTCAGGAAGTCCCATCGGCCGCAACATTTCAGGTCTGAACATGCCAGAGTTTCCTACCTCTACCCATTTTTTAAAGCCTTCATGATAACTGTTATACAAGCACTTGATTAATAAGTAACATCATAGGATATGCATTATTAAGATAATGACAAGCAAAATAAATTATAATCATTACAGAAAGACTGACCTGAAAATCTCCATGCTAGGTTCTGTGTAAGGATTGTAAGCAGGTTTGAATTTCAGCTTGGTCATGCCTGAACTCAAAAACAAAATTTTCATCCAAGATCAATAACAGATATATGTACTCCAAATCCTATCTTTAATAAACTTGACGGTGGGCATTAATCATTTAACTAGAACTTGCATTCAACATTTAATTCAACAAATACCAAGTTTTATCTTACTAAGTGGGGTCAGCTACATGGATCAAATTATGCCATAATGTTCTATCCAAGATGCGTTCAACGTTTAATTCATACGAAGTTATTCATTATAGGGGAGCATTACCTAAGCGTGAGAAGAAATCATGTAGAACTCCTATTAAGTCACAGAGAGTGAGTCCTCGATCGCATACAAGGCCTGAATTTAAATGCAAAATCAAGAGTGTCATAACAATCAATAAATTTGAATGTAGAAAAATAGTTGAGATTAAACCCCTGGTGCACAAACACAAAAAAGTTATGAGGAAAATGTATTCAGGTAATTCCCCACCACCTCTTTAGTTTGCGTGGAAAAAAAAGCATAATTGGACCATCAGAGGTGAATGGTTTTCCAATGTACGAAGATGAACAACTTAAGAACTAAAACGCTGGTCCCAGTAACATACTAGGTCACGTACCTTCTATCTGGTGGAACTCCGCAAGATGCGTTCGGTCCACTGCTTCATTTCGGAAAACACGATCTATAGAGAAATATTTTTTTGGAGCAAATGGTTTCTGCAAAGACATTGAAAAGGCAAAGAAAAATGAATCAAGCTATAATGAGTAGCAACAACATAGAAGGTATAATCAATTATATCTGGAAATAGGGAAAAAGGCAAAAAAACAGAGTACAGAAGCATAGAGTAAAATAGCTTAATCCACCTCTAAAACATAAATACACACATTTCAATCTAAAATCTGAAGGAAAAATGAAAATATAGGAGGCCCAATGGCCCCAAACACAACACAATCATATGCATTCACAAAAACATGACACAACAAATTCAGACACGTACCTGTGCCAGCTGGTTAAGCATCCTGGAAGAAACAGCAGTTGTGTGGGTTCGCAGAAGGTTTTTATTTGCTTCCTCTCTTTTCCAATCGTATGCATATCTACCAAGGAACAGAATTATAAGGTTACCCTCAGAAAGCAATTTGAAACTTATCTCTCTATCGATAAATAGCCTACAATTAAAAAGTGTACTGAGGGTGCTCAAGCACATACCCTCTAGACTCGTAACCACCAAATTCATGAACTTGCTTTACCCTCTGAACATAATCTTCAGGAAGTTTCTTTGTTGTTGAAGGAGCTGCATATGTAGAACATTCACTCAAGATGGAAGCAAAGAAGATTTGAGTAGCAATGAGAAAATCAATATTTTACTAACCTTCCAAAAAGAAGGTGTCATGTGAATCACGGGCGGGATGTTGTTGGGGCTGGAACAAGGAATCAAAGTTCCAGAAGCTGCCATTTAAAACATTGAGATGTAAAGTTTACAATGAGAGAAAACATGTGCTGCTACACGCCATACTAAACACAAATGATACTAGTCTGTTGAGGTTCAGTAATTTTTAAAGATAAATCTAGCACAAAAATAACATAAAAAGCAAGAATCAATAGATTATGCAGACTAACAGTATGATTCATGCAATTCATAGAACAGTTACTTTAATCAAGATGCTATGATGGATTTATAAAAGTCACTACTGAATGAACTTTTCCCAGAACGTGTGACGTTATAAACAAGAAAAATTGCTCAATTATCACTTTGCCGTAATTCAAACCAAAGATTTTGGGAATTCCATAATTATTCCACAACTCCACCAAACACCCGCTGAATAACAGATTAAAATGTATCAATTTAGTGCAACAAGGTTTTGGATTTGGCTTTTACATTTTAGGGCTGTAAGCCTGCAACTACCTAGCCTGTCCAAAAGTTTGAGTCTTGATTAACAGCTCTACTAAGGATTTATTAAAGGTTAGGCTGCAATAAGTTCCAAGCATTTTATTTTTTCCCTGCTTGCTTGAAAGCATCCTTAAAGAGAGCCAAGTTCAAGTTATTATTTGGGGGCAGGAGGGGGTTTTAAAGCTTTACGTGGGAACTTTGAGAGTCTTTTTTCTCTTCAACTATTAATCTTTAACTTGGACCTTATAAAATTTATTGTTAATTATTAATACAATTTGTGCATACATCATAGATTGGAAAAGCCACTAGGATTGGACTGGGGGCAGGGGTTTTGGATGGTTAATATGAGATCATAGGTCCAAACCTCATTTCCAGTACTCCAAAATCTATAAATCACCAACACTCAAAAGGTATTGGCACGGAAACATTTCAACAATTACCTGCTCTCAACATAATTATTTGTGGGCATCTCCTCAAACCTGCAACATTAGATTACCATTACAAAATGTTAATCTCAGTGGTTGAAACAAATATTTACCACACAGGACTTCAAACTTCAACATGAGAAATATAAGACTCACCCCATACAATGGAAGATCTGTTTTATTTGACACCGTACCTAATAATGGAAAATGTCCAGAACAATTAAATACACAAATGATCAAATATGTTCTGGATAAAAGCAAATCAGCAACAACAACAGAGTGTTCAGTTTTTCAGTAATGTTTTATGTAGATTGTTTCGTTTGTCCAGGCTTATGGCCAGCAATGTGAAGATAGGAAATAAAGAATGACATATGTTGAGGTATTATTTTGGTTACATGCAAAAACAAACTATGCTTTTGCTCATGTATTCCTGAATATGAACTTTTCTGTGGTCGGTAGAGTTTCTATAGCACAGAGGGAGGAGGGAAAATGGAAATATCTTCTTGCCTTTAACAGTGGATGAAGACTGCCACCTTCAAGAGGCTGACCTTTAGCACTGTAATTGTACTCTTTGAATTCTATTTCCTTCCACTCGCCACTGCAACAAATTAACACAGTTTAGTCAGATTTCATAAGATATGATGCAAATGCAGTAAAATATCTTGCACAAAGAATAAGCTTGAACAGAGCTTAAAAACCCCCAACCCCAAGTTCACATTTAGTTTAAGGGAGAAAATAGTACCTCTGAAAATTATCTCGAGTTAAATCAGTGACAACCTTTTTTCTTTTTGGAGCATAGTTAGGACCCTTTTTAACCGAGTAACCCTTCCAAGTCCTAGAGTATAAGAATTTCAATAATGAAACAGTAGTCAAGTAATCTACACATATTCATCAAGTTGGAAAAACTTTGAAGAGCAATCAAGTTAAATTGTTATTACTGTGGTACAATAAGCTTTCTTGCTTTGAGTGCTTTGATATCATCTGGACCAATGCCCTGCATTTGCAACACATGGTAACATTTCTAATGAGATATAAGAATTCACAGGGAAAACTGACTAAGAAAATGATAAGTAGGATGTTGACAGTAAAACTGTTGTCAATCCCTACTCGCACATGAATAGAGTACAGGCAAATCTCATAATTACAGAGTAAAGAGAATGAAAGGTCCAACCCCCTTTCCGACTTCGTAGACCAATCTTATATATTGAGCTGAATCTCAATAACACAAAACCTTGCCACTTACCTAGGTATTATCATAAGCCCAAGATTTAAGACCGAGCCGATATGCTCTCACAAAAACAAAAAATTCAAAAAAGTTGCTATCAACAAATCAGACTACCCAGCCATCTGCCCCCATGAACAAGTACATGTTACGAAATTGTAAGTGTATTAAGTATAACAAGAATGAGAGAGAGTTTACTATTTCTACTGTATTTAGGGATGAAAGGGCGTTTTAATAGCATATTAAAAACCAGAACCAGCATGATTAGAAACCATCAATGCTACTATTTATGAAAGTCAAATGCAAAACCAGGAGGATGATTGATTTCAAGAAATACAAATTACTAACATTTCCACTATCTATATGATTAAAGAATTGACAAAGTTGACTATATCTCAGCATGTAACCCCCTCAATCTTAAAAGAAAACATCATTGCCAACCCCCTACCCACCCAAGGAAAGATTCAGCAAAATTAACAAATTCAACAACAAAACTATTCATGCTAGTAGAACACACCTGTCCTTGTTGTATTTGAAGAAGCAAGTCTTTAACTTTGTCTTCCACATGTTGTACCTGCATCAATAAATTTGTCTACAATAAATATTTCACTAACCATAAAGTAATTCTCATCTCAAAGGAAAAAGTAAAATGAACATCAAGATACAATACAATTATTTTATTACATAGCATGCTTATGTTAAACAAACAAAATACTAAAAGTAGAAGATTTAGAATCATTAACATACCTTCTTAGATATAAGCTGTTTCCCCATCTCAACCCATTTATTTTTAGCCGCCTGAGCACAACCGATCTTGAAAACTGAAGGACCCAGCTTTTTCTGCAACCATAAAACAACAATTAAACTACAATTAACATATGAAGCACTCTCCAATCACAGACATCGAACACAATACTGACACTAACACAAACACCGGTAATAATTCAAGAAAATTGAAGGGGTTGACTGATGCAACTACAAGAGGGAGCAATACAAGAGGAATGCACAACCTCTGTAACACCAAAACCCTTGAAAAAATGTGTCAATGTCAGTGTTGGTGTCCGAAACCGACACCGACACTAGTGATTACGTTAAATTTATTCATTTTTTCAAATTATCATCAGTGTTGACTTGCCAGTGTTGGTGTCGTGTTTTCGGTGTATGTGCTTCATAGCGCACAACATGCAAAGATTTTCAAGTTTGCATGAGGGATTTATTTACATGATTGGATTCAATAAATTTATCATTTTCCAATATTTAGTGTCATTATTTCTTAACTATGCTTTAGGATAAGTAAGTTTGCGTGATTTGAAGAATGTATACACAGCTTCTGTTGGCTCAAAGAGAACTAAACCAGATAAAGAAACAGCAGTGTTGAGATAAACACGATAAGGCCATGTGACACATATAAGCAGAACTTATCAGAAGCATTAAAAGGGTTTAAAGCAAAATTAAGCTTTTTCCATCAAAAAAATTAAAAAAAACCACCTGAAGTTCTTCTCTGGAGATACCTTCCGGCGGAATAGCCGAAATTAGCTGAGCTTCAGGGGATCCAAGAGTAGTGTAACTGTTCCCTTCATCGGTTAAAACCCATGTCTCCCTCTTAATATCCTATCCACCATAAACAAACCCTAATCTGTTAAAAATAGTTTACATTTACGATTTGATTTAGGATATCAGATAAAGTTACCTACCTCAGCATCAACGTATCTGAAACCATGGAGACTCTTGATGATGTTAACTATTTCATTGTGGTCAATGCCGCGTTCGGATGCAAATTCCCCGGAATCTCTTATCTCCTCGTTGTTTTCGAGGTAACCCAGAACTGCTTCTTCCGCCATTGTAAAAACTAAGCGCCGCCGCACAAATCTGTGTCTTCCAAACTCAATAGCAAGAGAGGTACACGATGGTAACTGATTTATTTTGTTTGGGCCAACCCAATATGAATGTTACGGATTTTTTTAGTTAAGGTTTAAAAACCAACCTGTCTTTTCGGAAACCGGTTTATTTTTGAGAAATGGATTCAAACCAGTTTGAATTTGGTTTAAAACCGGTTTTGATTAAAACCCACTTTTCAATTGAATCGATAATGAACACACTGCTACCGTGAACACCCTCTTCAATGTTGTCGATTTCGTGAATGTCATCGTGTTTGTGAGAATCATCGTTGAATTTTCCTAGTTTGATAAACACAATCGGTAGATGAACTTCATCATGTGTGAGTATAATTAGATCCATTTGATTCCATAAATACCGCTAATATCATTTATGTGGATTTAGTGTTGAGTTTTGTCTAATACAGTAGAAACTCTTTAAATGTCCAAATGTAAAAAATTGAAAAACTCGATAAAATAATAAGATAATAATTTTTCGGGAGATCCCTTTATAATTTTTGATCCCAAAAAAATCATAAATTAATAGAAACTGAAAAAAAATATATTACACTCTATTGAAATATGATTCAATAGTTGTCTGATTTCCTTTAAAGTTCAAGTCTATTTGAAGCTCATCTCTAACTTTTCTTATTGCATCCAATAGCTCAGGTGTTGTATTTTTGTATTGTATCATAAAGTTGTGAAGAGGGTTCGACGTCATAAGTGCTTCCTTTTCGCGTAACAGGCTCCAAAAACACCGTATCATCTTCGTTGTCATCCTCTGCATTGTTCTCAATGATAGTACCCATAATATCTTCTAAACTCTGAACCTCCGAACATGCTTCATTTTCACCTGGGCAGTTCATTAGATTGTCGATATCCATCTTATTACGATAGCCACATTGATTGATTATAGTCTCAACGTCTTGAGTTTCTTCATCAAAAGTGGATTCATCCAAATTTCTTGCAACGTCACGTCACTAGCTGAACAAATTTTACAGTGTCGGAAGCAATTCGCTATTGTTTTTTTTCGAACATCTATCGTCCAAGCTGGGATTGCCAAATTAATAGCATCAAGGACATTTATCTTTCTTGGATCAGATTGTCCCACCTCATAACCTTCCAATATTTTGCGGTAAAACCTTCTACGGTAATGCATCTTAAAAGCTCTTATAATCCCAGCATCGCAAGGTTGAATCTTTGATGTCATGTTGGGTGGCAAGAAGAACAACTCAACGTTTCTTAGCCCTTCAATATTTCTTGGATGCGTTGGACAATTATCCACCACAAGTAGAACTCTTATACCATGCATCATTTGGTCAAATGAACGAACATATTCATCAAAAAGCACACTAGTCATCCATACTTTTTTGTTAGCTCGATATTGACAATCCAAGTTATTCATGTTAACATTCTTGAAGCAACGAGGTTTTGCATATTTCCCAATAATCCATAGAGGGATTTTTTTCACTGCCATCTTTATTGCAACAAATAACTATCGTCAGCGTTTCTTTATCTTGTTTTCTTCCTTCAAGTTGTTTTGTTGCCAGTGAATGATTAGCTTGTAGCCTATAAAACAACCTAGTTTCATCCATATTGAAAATATCTTTCATAGGGGACTGATCAATTTTCTCCTGAATCGATATCAATTTCTACTCCATGTCTTGTACATCGACAGACCCACTCTCGCCAAAATGAAAAAATGACTTTATGCCATGTCGATTCTTGAATTTCCCAAGTCATCCTGTAGAGAAGTTAAAATTTGAATCATCATGAGGGTACACGAGTTTCATTGTATCTTTTGCCTTCTGCAAAATTAATTCTCCTGTGATATTCACACGTTCTTGATGCTGGAGAAACCACTCATAAACAACCTTCTCCATGTCAGGATATTTTGCAGGTTTGTGTCTTTTGATCTCTGTTATTCCCTTTTCTATTTCAGCAAAGAGATAGTCATCTGACCGGTTAAGTGTGTTTGATATTGTTCCTTGACTAACTTTCAACTGAAATTTTCCCTCAAGCCATCTCTGCAAGTCTTTTTGTGTGCTTGCAAGATTATCTCTCTTGTACTCGCACAACTCCTTACGTATTTGATCTGACATAGTTGATTTTGCAACACTTTTTAGATGAGAAGCCATTTTGTGAGATATGGTTTGAATACTCTAACACATTCATGTAATTTATATATGGCAAACTTTCTTAAGAATACATTGAACACATTTGTTCCTCTTGTTTACATTTATTGTACTTCAAAAGTCATTATTGATTTCCAATTCATATGAACACAGTAGTTACTAATTTATGTTGAGTCACAATGTTCGCTGCAACGTAGTTCTAAGAGGCATAGACTAATTTGCCTTTTTGTTTGGTATGTACAGTATAATTACTTAAAAACTCTTTAAATTAATAATTATTAATTTATCGATAAATTAATAACTCTCTAAATTAATAAATTTCTCCGGTCTTGACATTATTAATTTAAAGAGTTTCTACTGTGTGTGACAAAAGAAATAAATAAATAACAATTTTACAATAATTAAATAAATAATAACGATTTTATAATAAATTGTCAAATAGAAAATGACTAAAAAACGATTAGATTTTATTTGATAAAAATAGTGGTTGGTTGATAAGCTAACTTATAGTTTATGATTGATCGTTTATAATTTATAGTTGATGGTTGATGACTTATAACTGATAAATTAATTAAAATGTTTGGTAAAATCATCAGATTAATTAGTTGATAAATTAAAATGACATAAAAAAACATTTAATATTATTTTATTTAAATTATAAAGGATAATAGTAGATTTTAGTTAAAATAATAAGGACGAAAATGGAAGAAAAAGTTATAAGTTATAAGATAAAACGATATTTAAAATAGCCTTTGGAAAAAAAAGCTATAAACTAATAAAATAAACTATAAGATCTTGACGAAAAGAGTATTACGAAACAAATTTTTTATTGGCATACGAGCTTATAAGCTATATGTTAGTTATAAGCTAAAAAAATATCTTGTGTCTTAGTAATAATTATTATTAATTAAAATTATAGAGGTGAGTGGATTTAATGAAAAGTTATAATAAATAAAATTTAATTTATATAATTTATTTATACTTTAATAATTATTAGGCGTAATTAATCACGAAGTCCTTTAATTTAATTTTAAAATTTATTTTAGTCTCTTAGTTAATAAACATTACATATTAGTTTTTTAAAAACAGTTTTGTTAGTCAATGTAATTTTTTTTATTAAATGTTAAGAAAAAACATTAACTTGTGTTAATGTGGCATGATAGAGTGACAAAAGTCAAAATAATGAGTCGATATTTTTTTTAAATACTAAATTGAAACCTTATAATTAGTTAAGAAGATGATAAAACTGTGATTAAAGTAATTATACCAAAATTTCATAAAATTTTATGAAATTATAAGTTGTTATTTTTCATGTGTCTTTCACCAAAATGAATGAATATGTATTTCCATATCCATTAATTTATAAAGTTCACCAAAAATGAATGTATGGGACTTCGAATTTTATTCCATTACCAATTAACTACATATCTATATTCAATAAGGCAAGTAAAAAAGACAAAAGGAAAACCTTGTAATTCCTTGTAACGAACAAGAAGCATGTACACAATAGTGACTAAGCAATTGGTTATTGATATAATCACATCACTTATACTCTAAGCCTAACTTGATTCCCACCCCTAGAGACAGAAATTGATACATAAGAGAAAGCCATGTCATTTAGGCTTCTTTATCGGAATACAGGACAATCATTAACTATAACTTCTAGTGCAGTATAGCAAGTAGTCAACGGTCAATGATCCAATTCAGTTCTTGAATTCCCCGCCATTTGAGACCACGGATTGCATTTTGCATAGCAACGAATATCAAAACACTCATAGAAGCTGTGTTTGCATCAAATGTCACCGATACAACATAATTGTATTTTTTTAGACATATATATATATATATATATATATATATATATATATATATATATATATATATATATATATATATATATATATATATATATATATATATTAAGATATGCAGTTACTTTAGGATGCGTTTGATTCGTTAAAAAATAAAGGACTGGACAAGACAATTTTTTTTATCATGTTTGACGTCGAAGTAAACTAGTGGACTGGACAAAACTAAAAAATTTTATCCTTCACTGAACCATGGAACAACTTTTTGTCTCAAACACAAATTATCAAAAAATATTAAAATATCTGATGGGCTAAAGACGTGTCTACTTATGCGTCTAGCGGTATCTTACTGCAAGTGCACAGCCTATCGAAGTAATATTTAAGATTATCGATCCACAGGGATTCTATGGTCACTTAGTGCTAGATGAACTTCTAGTTTAGCTAAGGCGAATGGTTGTCACGATTGTTGTTGGCTTTTAAGACTATTAAAGGCGAAATTAAATTTAAGTTTTAATAAGGTAATACTAAGGCGGTCGGCATGTAATTATACTAACTTAGGTGGGTCAATCTAACTTAGGCTTATAGAGATGTTCACTTAATCTATTCGGTAGAGATTACCAGTTTAAATACCCTCAACTCACACTCTCGTGGTCTTATATCAGATCTTATCCCTAAAGCCTTATGCCTGCTCTCGCTAGCCCATAAGTGTTTAGAGGTAATTTTTGGAAACCAAGTAATTCTAATTTATCTTAAAGCGCTCTCGCTGTGTTTAATTTAAATGCCTAACTTTAGCTATCTGGTTAAAATCTCACACTCTCGTGGTCTTGACCTAACCTAATACTCTTTTCTTACTCTCGTAACGAAAAGGTCTATTTCAATTAAAAAGTATCAGCCAGAATGTTAAGTGATTAATTATTTTCAGCCTATGGTTATATTTTACCGGTTAAGTTTGTTATAACTACATACCGCCCTAAGGTGTTTAGCTACTCATCGATGTTGGACCAGGCAGAGACAGAGAATTTAATAATAACGTACTCATGGCAGAAAAATAAATAGGCATTATAACTAAATTAAATTGCAATATAATAAAAAACTGATTAACAGATATTCGAGCAGACTCCTTCTTCCACAGGCCAGAAAGCTTGGAGTTGGCGGAAATTTAAAATAAACGAATGCTGAAGGTTTAGAAACAAATAAATGTATAACAATTTCCTGATGTTGGAAATTGTTATATGGTTGGTTTGGATACAAATAAAAACGAAACGGAAATTAAAAATAATGCTGGAATGGAAAGGCAGGGTCGTAATACAGTTCGGCAGAGCTTCCGCAGGAATTTCAATAAAAAGGTTTGTCCCCTGTGTTCACAGAGCTTGTGTTATTTATAGATTCCTTAATGGGCTGGATTCTTGGTCCTTTGTTGCATGGGCCTTGCTGAAGTTGTTGAAGGAATGCTGGAACGTGGCAACAAAATGGGAGAAGTGGTCTTCACGTAATGCCTTGAGGAGAAATAAGAGGATGAGTGGTCTTCACGTAGTGCCTTGACGTAGTCTGAGTCAAAACCAAGCTTTATCCTTGTCACGGGCGTGACAAGGTCTTCACGTTCGTAATTTGAGGTTTTTAAGTGTCACGGTCGTGACCACTCTCTTACGGTCGTGATGGCCCAAATTGGGGTGTCACGGTCGTGACACCCTTGTAACGATCGTGGCTGCAACAAATTATGCAGTCTTTTTGCAGGCTTCTACATTTCTTCATCTCCTTGTGGTCTCTTTTGTTCCTTTTTCTCTTAATTCATGATTTAGCTCCATATAATGATGTACCTGCAAAATAGTAAGAAAAACTCGAGA